TGCTGCGGCTGCTGCGGCTGCTGCTGCTGCTGGGTGGAGCCGCTTCTGCTGTCCCTTCGCTTGACGGGGGCCTGCACGTGCATGTACCTGCGCCGCAGTCTCTGGTGGCGGGCGCAGAGCTCCTCGTGCTGCAGCACCGCGCAGCAAGCCTTGACGAGGGGGTCTGCGCATGCAGCAAGAGTTGTGGTCCCGGGATCGAGTGGGACCGTCTCTGTGCAGCGGGGCCTCGAGGCCCCCCGCAGCTCCAGGTCTTCTACAGTCAGTGCGAAGCAGCACTTGCGGCTCACGCTGAAGGTGTCCCACAGGGAGACTCGAAACAATTCCCCAGATACTTCGAAGGCCACAGCAGTGGTGTGCAGCAAGCCCTCGAGGGCGTCTGCTGCTGTGGGCACTGGGACTCTTTCGAGGTCTTCCTCCGGGGGGCCCCCCCAGTGGAGTCCCAGGGGCCCCTCGCCGGCGAGGTCTGCTGGGTAGGGCGGCGGGGAGGGCATGTCCCTGCTGGAGGCTCGGCGCTGCTGCTGCTGCTGCTGCCGCTGCTCCTGCAGCTGCTCGTGCTGCTGCTCCGCCATGAAGGTCTCGAGGACCTGGTTGAGCCCCCGCGGGGGCCCCCGGGGGCCCTGCGGGTCTTCCTCTGCCCCCGAGTACCCCACAAGGCCACATCCCTCGGGCCCAGTAGCAGCAGAGAGGGCCCCCACTGCTGCAGCATGCCGCTGCTGCCCCGCTGCAGCGGGGAAGGACTTGGCAGCACTTGTGAGGGTGTCGGACATGTCTGCTGCTGCTGCACGGAGCTCCTCCGGAGAAGAGGGGGCCGCGGGGAAGAGGCTGGCAGCAGCAGTAGCAAGGGCCCCCGAAATGGACAGCAGCTGGTAAGCCAAAACCACCGAAAGAGTGTCAAGAGTAAGCAGCACCGGCTCAGCTGTGAAGCTGAGACAAAGGCCCTCGGGCTCGGGGGCCCGCAGAATGCCGTAGCGGCGGCGAATAGCAGCAGCAGCTTCGGGACTTATGCCACAAATGCGCTCGCTGAGAGCTGCAGCAGAAGGCACACACACTGTGGCCAGCAGCTGCAGCCGTGTGGGGGCCAGCAGCGGGCTGTGCAGCCGCAGCGGCTCCCAGGCCACTGCGCACGGCAGCAGCGGCGACAGCAGCTCCGGCTGCGTAGTAACAGCACACAAGTTGGAGACGGAGAGGCCCACGCGCAGCAAACAGGGGCAGTAAGGAGACAGCCACTGCAGCAGCCCCTCTCCGCTTCTTTCCATTTGCCGCGCGCACTCCAGCTCCGTTATCATTGCCTCTTCCCGCTCCCGACCGCTCTCCAAATACCCCTCCTGCTGCTGCTGCTGCTGCGGCTGCTGCTGCTCCTGCTGCTGCTGGCGCTGCAGCGAGAAGCAGGCCACGGAGACTTCGAAGGCCGCAGACACGGCTATCAGCTTGGGCACCCGAGCAGCACAAGCTGCAATTGCTGCTGTCCCCTCGGGAGTAGCTCTCTGGCTTCGAACTACTAGCCTTTTGAGGCCCCTCCAGTAGTCTGCTGCAGTGACCCGCTGCAGGCGCGGGCTGAACCTCTTGCCGCTGCTGCTGAGGGCGCTGCTGTTGTACAGCAGCAGCTGCTGCTGCTGCAGCCCCGTGGCGCTGCGGGCGCCCCCCAGAAGCGCCCTGCGCCCCTTCGCAGTCGCGCTGGAAACCCCGGCAGCAGCGGAGGCGAGGCCGGAGACGATCCCGGGGACGATCCCGGGGACGATCCCAGGGCCTGCTGCGAAGCTCTCGGGGATGAAGTGGTGCAGCAGCTGCTGCTGCGTCTCGCCCTTGCGGCGGCGCCCCATGAAGCCCCCACTGGTGCCCGTGTCCGTGGGGGGCCCCCTGCTGTCACTGGACCCCACATGGTCGAAGCGAAGTCTATTTAAAAAGTGTCTTCCCTTTTTGCCGAAGGCCCCCGCCGGTGCTGCAGCGAGGCCCCCCAGGGGAAGGGCAGCCCCGCCGACAGCAGCGAGGAGTCCGGGGCCCCTGGCTGCGTCGCCATCCGCGGCGTCGCCCTGCTGCTGCTGCTGCTGCTGTTGCTGCCTCCTGCGCTCGCTGTGGGAGGCGAGGGAGCCCCCCGCGGCGGTGGCGCTGCGGCGGCCTGCAGCAGAGGGCCCCTCGGCCTCCGCCTCGAAAGGCATTCGCACGGGCTCCGTGGGAAACCACACCTCAGCCTGCTGCATGCGCAGCCGCAGCTGCAGCTTGGGGAGGCGGAAGCAGCTGTTGAAGGCCTCGGGGGCCCCCGCGCAGCCCACAGCCCGCACGCTCTCGCCCGCAGCAAACGCCGTGCTGGGCAGCGCCCAGCGGCCCGCCTGCTGCAGCAAAGACACAGCAGACCCTGCGAAGGCGCTGCGGCTGCGGCTCTCGCCCTCGCACTCTGTGAAGTCACAGGGGCCCTCTTCCTCCACAGCCCCGAAGCGGGACTCTTCGATGGCCCGCAGCAGCCGCCCGTTGTCGAACAGGCTCGAGGCGCCCCCGCTCTCCAGCGGCACCCACTGCGGCAGCGCCTCCGGCAGCTCCGCCTGCTGCTGCTGCTGCTGCGGCTGCTCCAGTTGGCTTCCGGAGGCTTCGAAGGTGAAACGCGTCGACGGCAGCACCGGGAACTCTCCCAGGCACTGGAGCGAGGCCGAAGGGGCCCTCGAGCTCCCTGCTGCTGCTGCTGCTGCTGAAGGCGCGGGCGGGGGAGTTGCTGCTGGGGACGACGCCGCTGCTGCTGCTGCTGCTGCTGCTGCTGCTGCTGCGGCTGGGGACTGCTGCTGCAGCTGCAGCGCGGGGTCCGCGCCGGAAACCGGAGGGGCAGACACGAAGCCCGAGGCCCCGCGAGAGTCCCTGGGATCGTCTCCTCCCGCAAGACTGAACCAGCGGCTGTCCGTAGTGGCAACACTGGGGTTTCTGCTGAGCTGCTGCCTGGAGATGCACCTGCTGCGGGCCAGCAGCAGCCGCTGCACTATGGACTCCAGCTGCTCCTCGGGCCTCACCTGCGAAGCCGCGCTGCCCCCGCGCTGCTGCTGCTGCTGCTGCAGCCCCTGCGCGGGCTGCTGCACAGAGCCCCAGGCGGGAGAAGGCGGGGGCTGCAGCTGCTGCGGCGGCGGCTGGAAAGTTGGCAGCTCTTCAGAAAGCTGGCTGGCCACCTGCAGCACTTCGTAAAGAACTTCCCAGACAAGAACGAAGCGGGCCTTCGAAAGAGATACAACAGTGTCCACAGTTTCCTCCATGGCGTTGCCCCGCAGGCGCACTTCCAGGTGCGGCCGCGGGGGGCAGCACAGCAGCAGCGGGCAGGTGCTGCTGCTGCTGCTGCTGCTGTAGCTGCTTCTGCGGTTGGCCCCGGACGAGCGCCGCGGCCCCGCCGCCTCCTCGTGCGACAACCCGTCGGACGTTGCTTCCCTGCTGACGCTTCTCCCCCGCCGCTGCTGCTGCTGCTGCTGGTGCTGCTGCTGCTTCTCCGGCATCACCGCCCTGGCCTCCGCAACCAGCACGGAAGTGCGGGCCCTGTCCAGCCTCTTGGTGGAAAGTTTGTTTTCCGCAAACAGCAACTGGCTGTTGGCCAAGTGCTGCTCCACTGCGCTGCTCTTCCGCTGCGAAGCTGTGGGGCCCGCAGCTCTCAAAGCGGAGGCGCGGCGGCCTCGCTCGGAGCTGCTGCAGTCGGGGGCCTTCAGCTCTGCTGCAGAGACTGAGCCGAAGTGGAGGGCCCCCCCGAAGGGCCCCGAGCCCGGCTGGGGGGCCTCGGGGGCCCCCGAACCCAGGTACAACGATGACAAGCACAGCGGGGCTATGTTGGTGTCGTCCCGCAGCTCCACGCCCTCCAAAGCCACATGCACGTGGGCCAGCCCCTCAGTAGAAGTCACTGCTTCTATGAAGCACTCGCCCAGCAGCAACGTGACCAGTGGACTGACCGTTTGGTAAGGCCTGTAGGCCTTGCCGGTGCAGGGTTCGGTCAGCGGCAGGCACGCCGAGAGCCAGCTGCTGCAGCTGCCTGTCAGCAGCGGCCCCAGGGGCCCCGCTGCTGCGGCCAGGGGGGCCCCTTCGGGGGCCCCCTCCCCCGACAGCAGCGATGCTGCGCGCTGCTGCGCCGCCAGGCCCTCTGCAGCAGACACGGCGGTGTGCGCCAGGCTCCCAAAGTAGCCCCCGCCTGCTGCTGCGGCGCCCGGAGCTGCTGCCGCGGGCCCTGCTGCTGCTGCTGCTGCTGACAGCGAGTCGTTCTGCCACCGTCGGCTCCGGTGGATCCTCTGCAGAGACGCGGACTTGGCCTGGCCGCTGCGGGGGGCCCCCGAGGGCCCCCCTGGGGGCGCAGCAGCGTGGGGCCCGCCCACCGCTGCTGCTGCTGTGGTGGCCGCAGCTGCGGCTGCTGCAGCAGGGGCGAGGGAGTCGGTGTCTTCGTGGTCGGCGGGGGCGGGCGCTGCTGCTGCGCTGCAGTCGCGGGGGGCCTCCTTGAAACTACTCGTGGGGCCCCTGCGCAGCAGCGACAGCCGCAGGCCAGCCAAGACACAGTGAATCTCCAAAGACATGTCCCCCTGCTGGCTGTTGGCCAAAGTGACTGAAGCAGACACGAGGGCCTCCTGGGCCCTGGCCCTGCTGAGGGCCAGCTGGGTGCCCACGAGGGCAGTGGTGTGGTCCACTCCAGCAGCAGCAATTGAGGAGACAACAGTGTCTTCTTCTGGGCGCGACGCCTTTCTCTCCACGGCCTCGCCCTCCCGCTGCTGCTGCAGCAGCTGCTGCTGCTGCCGCTGCTGCTGCTCCAGCTCCATGCACTTCGCCTCCATCTGCTGCACTATGCACGCGTCCAGCGCCGCCTGCTGCGCTGCTGCGTCTCTGAAAATTGCGTCAAGACGGGGAGAATAGGAATAAAATATCTCCAGAGACTCTGCTGCTATGTTGGCCAACAACTCTATGTCGTGTTGCGAGACAAACACCGCAATGCTCTCTTGAATTATGTCCACCTGCCCAGCAACCCACACAACCTCCCCAGCACACAGCTACAGCAGCAGCAGGAGCAGCAGCAAAGCAGCAGCAGCGGCAGGAAAGCAGCAGCAGCAGCAGCAGCAGACCAGCTGCAGCAGCAACAAAGCAGCAGCAGCAGCAGCAAAGTAACTACAGAAAAAGGGAAAGGGAGCCAGTCCTTACGTGGAAAGCGGGAAGGCCCGGCCTGTGCTTGTCGTGGGCCACTTTGAGACATAAAGCGCTGGTATCTACAGGGCGAACTAAATAGGAGCCACTGGGGCCCCCCCTTCGTTTGTGGGTGGACTCGGTTGTGGGGCCTTCTGCTGCTGCTGCTGTTGCTGCTGCGCCGGCCTCTTGCTGCTTGGCCCCCTTCGGCTGCTGCTGGCTCTTTCCTGCTGCTGCTCCCGGCGGCCGCGGGTGCGCCGCAGCAGCAGCAGCCTCCCCGTCTGCTTCCGCGTGGCCTGGCGGGCCGCCGGCTGGCTGCTGCTGGGGGACCCAAGGGTTCCCTCCTGCAGTTGCTGCTGCTGCTGCTGCTGCTGAAAGCTGCAGCAAGCTGCTGAGCCGGCGCGGGAAAGGCACAACGACGCCCCCTAGGAACGAAGCAGCTGCCGCTGAAACGGGAACTCATACAGGTACCGGCAGGGCTAAGGCACACAGAGCAGCCGCAGCAGTAGCAGCGCAGCAGCAGCAGCAGCAGCGCAGCAGCAGCAGCAGCGCAGCAGCAGCAGCAGCGGCAAGAAGCAGCGCACCTGTATATTGGAAGAAAGGAGGAGGTCTTTCGTTCTTGCGGCGTCGAGGAGGTTGAGGCTTTCGCCCAAGACCAGCAGGCAGCGCTGCGGGCTGACCACTACAACAATTCCTGCACAAGAGTGCAGCAGCAAACGCATGTCAGGTGCATGCAAAGTGCGAAATAGCTGCGAGTCCATGCGCAAGTAGACTCCAGGGCTCCAGGCCCTTATGGTGTCCAGTTTCTTGCGGAAGTCTCGCGCGCCTCCGGAACGGGAAACTTCCTCCACTGCAGCAGCAGCAGCACTTGCGGTCGCTGCTGCTGCTGCTGCTGCGACTTTCGCAGCAGTTGCTGGCCCCTTCGGCAGGGCTTCGCCGCCTGCGCCCTCCGCGCCTCCTGCTGCAGCTCCTGCTGCAGGCCCCAGCCTAGCTGCTGCAGAGCCCACGTCCTGCGCATCTGCTGCTGAGTCCTCGGCCCTCCCCAAAACCTTCTGCAGCACATCGAAAAAGGCATTTCCTTTTCGCCTCCGCTTCGTCTTTTGCTGCGAAGGCTCCAGCAGCAGCAGCACAGACACTTCCGGCGGGGTCAAGCTGCTCTCCAAGTCCCGAGCCACCGTCAGCACCGTCGTCGGGTATACCTGCAACAAACAGCAGCAGCAGCAGCAGCAGCACACGGGAAATGAGAGGATGGGAAAATGTAAAGAAATGTAAAGGAGCCTCGGAAAACTCTATAGCACCACTTCAGAGCCATGAAAGAAGCATGAAGCAGCAAAGATAAGACGAAATCTGCACTTCCCAAAAATATCAGAGAAATAGCCTAGCCAAGACAAATGAGCAGCACGGCCACAGGCAGCAGGGAGCAGAAAGGAGCAGCAAAGAGCAGCAAGGAGCAGCAAGGAACAGTAAGAAGTAGCAAGGGGCATCACGGAGTAGCAAGGAGCCGCAAAGCGCAGCAAAGAGCATCAAGGAACAGCAAAGCGCATCAAGGAGCAGTAAAGAGCAGCAAGGAGCAGCAAAGAGCAGCGAGAAACAACGATCCTCAGCAAGCCGCAGCAAGCCGCGGCAAAGTGCAGCAAAGTGCAGCAAAGGGCAGCAAGCCGCAGCAAAATGCAGCAAGGCGCAGCTGCAAAGAGCAGCAAAGATCAGCAAGGAGCAGAAAATAGCAGCAAGGTGCAGCAAAGCGCAGCAGGGAGCAGCAAATAACATTAGAAGGCTGACTTCGACGTCCATGCTGAGGGTCTGGTCTCCAGTGACTCCAATTTCGAGGTGGTAATGAAGACAGGCGCACTCGAGGGCGAGGAGGCGCTGGCCGTAGCGGGGTGGGGGAACAGCAACTCCGCGGCCTTCGCAAACTACGAGGACTTGGAGTTCAGAGAGCGCCAAGTCCAGCGCGAAGTCCACGGAAAAGAAGTGCTCCCGCACTTGCCGCAGACGCGAAGACCCCACGCCGTTCTGCCTGCAACCCGCAGCAGCAGCAGCAGCAGCAGCAGCGGCAGCGGCATGCACACAGCAGCGCCACACACTCATCTACGGGTCCCGACAGCTAGCCACCAGCCTTTCTAGCCGCCCCACAGATTCCCCCCAAGTGCGGCTGCAAAGCCCTCTTGTGCAATTAACTCTCTGCTTCTCCCCTCTCATTTGCTGCTGCTGCTGCTGCTGCTGCTGCTGTGCTTCAGCTCACTCAATGAGGCCCTGCACAATGCTGGCGCTGGCAGAAGCCAGCTTCCGGGGGTCTCCCTGAGCAGCAGCAAAGTCCAGACTTTGCTGCTTGTTGAAAAGCCCGCAAGTCAGCCATTGCCACGCCCGCCTCCAGCTGCTTTGTCTTTCTTCCCGCGAAGCCAGCAGCTCTCGCAGGGCCACCAGCCGCTTCAGCGCCTTCGCCCGCAGCACGCTGCGCAAAGTCGCACACAGCAGCACCAGCAGCAGCAGCAGCAGCAGCAGTGTGGGGCCCCACGCCCTGCGGCTCGCGGCTGCGGCCCAGCTGCAGGGCCGGCTGCCTCTGCTGCTGGGTCGCTGCAGAAAGTGCCTGCCTCTATAGCGCCTGCTGCTGCAGCGGCTGCTGCTGCTGCTGTTGCAGCTCCTTACCAAATGGTCTGCAGCGAATGTCTTTCTTCGAAAGAGGCGCAGAAGGCGTCGATGGCCTCGAGCGTGTCCAGACCCTCCAGGACGTCCTCGTCGTCTTCCTGCTGCTGCTCGTCGGGGCAGAGCAGCTGCTGGCGGTGCTCGCGTTGCTGCTGCTGCTGCTGCTCCTGCTGCTGCTGCTGCTTGGGCTGGTGCACGGGCACGTCCGTCTCCTTCTTCGAGGCCAACTCTGCGTCGTCTTGAGACACCAGCAGCCGCTCTGCGTCCCGCAGCACAGCCACTGGCTGCGGGCAGCGCAGCAGCTTAACTGGCCAGCAAAGCAAATACCTTTGAGTGTCTCCTGGGGAGGCTCTGGCCTTCTCCAAAGTGCCCAAAAGGCCCGCCTGCCAGGCGCCTGGAGGCAGCAGCAGCACAGCAGCAAGTGCCCGGCCTTCGCCGCAGGAACCAGCAGCAGCAGCACGGCCGCACGCGGCATGCAGCAGCACAACGCCATCACACTGCAGCAGCGAAGGGCCGGCAAGCTGCAGCAGCACAGGGCCTTCGTGCTGCAGCAGCACAGAGCCGTCGTGCTGCAGCAGCACAGGGCCTCCGCGCTGCAGCAGCAAATGGCGTCCGCGCTACAGCAGCACAGGGCAACCGCGCTGCTGCAGCACAGGGCAACCGCGCTGCAGCAGCACAGGGTTTCCGCGCAGCAGCAGCAGCAGCAGCAGCAGCAGCTTTCTCGGTGGGGCTCAGCGGACCGTAGAGAATGAAGCAGAACTCGAGCCACTTCCAGAGCTGGAGGGCCTGCATGGCCTCGAAAGTGAGTTTGACTCCAGGAAGAGTTAAAAAGAAAGTGCAAGATGGCAAACTTGCTGCTGCCTTTTCTGCTGCGTCTCTCTCCGCCTCCCGCTGCTGCCCCCAAGGGCTCCAGCACCTCTCCAAAGGGCCGTCTGGCGGCAGCGTCGGCACCAGCGTCAAAAACAACTTCCCCTGGCCCTGCAGCAAAGCCAATATATATATATATATATTTATATATATATGTTCATATAATGTATATATACACGTTTATTTTATCTATATATATATATCTATTTACATATATAGGTATATATGTTTATACTATGTATATATATGTATATTGGAGTTATATATGCAATTATACATAAGTAGATGTATAAGTATAGACACAAGTGTATATAAGTACATGTGTAAGTAGTTGTATATGCAAGTATGTGCAAGTACATATATAAGTATTTACATTTACAAGTATTCGCATATCTACGCATATTAGTACACAAACAAATATTTACAGATACAAATCTATATATATATATATATATACAAATATATGCACATATATATTTATATACCCTGATGATAAATATTCAGCAATATATATATCAGTTAGGAGATATAATGGGGAGAGAGAAATCTTTTAGAAAGAAGAACTTAACTTTTGAATTTCAGGATTCTTAAAAGTTTCTTTTTGGCTGTTTGCAAAGCTGCGCTGCTTACTCTAAAAGTGTCTGGAGACAAAATGTATTCATGGGGAATATCCCACAACAGAGAAAGAAACTCCCTGAACTCATTCAGCTTTTCCTTGTCTAGCGGCTGCATGCGGTCGGCCTTCTTTGGCTGCTGCTGCTGCTTCTGCTGCTGCTGCTGCTGCTGCTGCTGCTCTTGCTGTTGCTGCTGCTGTTGCTGCGCAATCAAGGAAGCAGCTGAAGGCTGCCTCCTCGCTGCTGCTGCCGCTGCTGCTGCTCTCTCAGACGGGGAATCCTCTGCATCGTAGAAGTCTTCTTCTGCTGCTGCATCTGCTGCGTCTGCTGCTGGAATGTTGCTGCTGTTTTCGCTGCTGCGACTCTCCCCTCGGGCGTGCTGGCCGTAGGGGTCTGCTGAGCTGCTGCGGCCTCTCAAAGCAGCTCTTTCTCCCGCTGCAGCACCCTCTACTGCTGCTGCTGCTGCTGCTGCTCCCTGCTGCTGCCGCTGAGAGGATTCTCCTGTGAGCTCGGGGTTAATGGGGGGTAGAAAAGAAGGCCTCCGCAGCTCTTTGAAGGGGG